CGAAGAACTCAACCTGCGGGGGGAGGGGGGCGGGGCGAGGTCAATATGGGTCAATTATACAATAAGGGAAATGGGTGAATAAGCTATCATAAGGGCGGGAACAAAACAGGTTAAAAACAATTATGCAACAGAGGAGGAAATGAATGAATAACCTAATAAAAAAATAACGATAGGGGTGAGGTCAACGTAGGTAAAAAAAAAATCGTAGAAGATGAATAAAAACTAATATATCAAATATAACCATCACGTTTGCCAAAGTCCTAATTACAAATGGACAAATCAAACGCAGATAAGAGCAACTGAAAACTCGACAATTTTTGCACGAAACACGGATTAATCAAAAGACACGTGCGAAAGAACACAGTTAAAGAAGTCTTATCTTTAATGCCTTTCGTACCTCGGTCGTTGTGCAAAGAACAGACACCTCGATCACACGCAAATGCAACATGCAACAACAAAACCAACCGCCTCTGATTATCTCGGTAAAAATATATATTTATCATTATCTATCACTTTCATGTAAGGATGTATGCAGGGAAATAAATAATATGCAAGTTTTATATTATTAGCTATCGGCTGCATTATAAATACTATGCATCATGACAGAATAAATCCCAACGTTATCTGCCTCTTAATTAAATTATCTAATTTATCATTGTGCTCAGTCGGTGTTCGGGGGGTGTGGTGGGGGGGGGGGGCAGAAAAGGAGACCGAGAAGGAGGACGAAGAGGGAGGATGAAAAGGGGGGAGAGGAGGGGGGGAGAGGAGGGGGGAAAGGAAGGGTGAAGAGAAGAGGGAAGAGGAGGAGAAAGAGGAAGGGATAAGAGGAGATGGAGGAGGAGGAAGGGAGGAGGAGGGGGGCGGAGGAGGGAATAACAGGAGATGGAGGAGGAAGAAGGGAGGAGTATGATAAAGAAAGATGGAAGTGGAGGTTGAGGAGGAGAAAGGATGTCGAGAAGGAGAGGAAGAGGAAGGAGGAGGAAGAGAAAAAGAAGAAGAAGAAGAAGAAAAAGAAGAAGAAGAAAAAGAAGTAGAAGAAAAAGAAGAAGGGGGAAAACAGCAGCAGCTAGGAGAAGGGAGAAAGGGAGTTGAAGGGGGGGGGGGGAGGGTTGTATGCTATCTCTCTCTCTCCACAGCTATCAGTGGAGGTCACTAGAAGACGGTGTTTGTCAGCAATGACAATCTTGACAGTCCTGCCGCTCACCTCTTGCTCCTCAGATAACAAAAAAGAAAGAAAAAGAAGGAAAGAAAGAAAAAGAAAGAAAAAGAAAAAAGAAAAAGAAAGAAAAAGAAAAAGAAAAAGAAAGAAAAAGAAAGAAAGAAAAAGAAAGAAAGAAAAAGAAAGAAAGAAAAGATCAGGCGAATAAAGAAACGGAATAAAAGAGGGGGAAAAAATCCGACTTCACGGCAATCCATTACAAATTTAAACCCAATTTTTGCGACTGAACAAATACCACAAAGGAAAAAAATGGCAGCCTATTTCACCCAAATCCGCGCAAAAATAAACAAAGCTGAATAAAAGCGAACAAAAATGAATAAGAAAACCTTTAAAACAAAAAAACGGACTTTAAGTAAATAAAAATGTAATGAAGATACCAAAAAGGAAGAAGAAGAAGAAGAAGAAGAAAAGGAATTAAAACGAAAAAAAAGAAAGAAAGAAAGAAAGAAAGAAAGAAAAAAAAAAAAAAAAAAAACATGAATAGGAATATATACATCTATATAAAAACGCCTCATTCTGTGGTGTCCAAAGGCCTCCTAATCAGGGCCTTTATCTCTACCACTTTTGGATAACGTTAAAGCAAGGTTTTTTTTTTTTTAATGCGATGATAAGTTACCATCCTATTATCAACCAGTGTTGTTTTTTTAACCATTTTCAGTAACGTTATCTCCTAACGGTCTCACCATTCTGCGCTATTGAAGTCTAAGCAAAACGGATTGGAGAATAGTGAACAATAATAACAACGATAATAACAATTACAAAATCAACTAAAAAAAAAAAGTAGTAACACTAATTACTAATATTAACAAATAATACGAAGACAATATAGTCATACAAAAAAAAAAAGAAAAAAAAAGAAAAAAAAAAAGAAAAAAAAAAAAAAAAAAAATCTTACGTTAACAACCTTCGACCGAGATATAACGAACCCCTTAAATACCTACACATAACCTTACCTACAAACACCTAAACATTTCCAACTTTAGAACCAAAAACAAAAACAAAAACAAACAAACAAATCTCAAACTGTTTGAGAGAGAAAAAAAGCTGGGCCAGATTTATGCAACCTCGATTCCTCTATCAAAAAAAAGAAAAAAAAAAAAAAAAAAAAAAAAAAAAAAAAGAGAAAAAAAAAGAGAGAGAGAAAAAAAAAAAAATCCGTGTTAGATTAATCAAACCCTAAAATCTCGAACATTCAAATTACGAAGCTATCCTAACTTCATTAAGAGGACGCCTACTGATTGCGATTGTGTTATTACGTGGGTAAGACATGGTAAAAAAAAAAATCTGCTTCTGTTGGTGGTGAAAGGGGTGTTGGTGGTGGTGAAGGTGGTGGTGGGAGTGGTGATGATGGGGGTGGTGGGGGGTGGTGGGGGGTGGTGATGATGGGGGTGGTGGTGGTGGTGGTGATGGGGTGATGGTGGCTGTGGTGGTGATGATGGTAGTGGCTGTTGTGGTGATGGTGGTGGTGATGATGATGATGATTGATGATGACGACGATGGTGGTGGGGGTGATAAACAGTGGGTGGTGGTGATGGCGATCATGACGACCAACTGATAATGATCATAATGAATGATAGTAATGATGAAGAGGATTAAAGGAGGTAATAATAATAATGATATACGTTGGTAGTGATGACGATGACAAACGACAATGACGGCGAAGACTGGCAGTGACGAATGAGAATAAAGATAACGACGACGACATGACTACATCAACAATACTAACAAACACCAAAACCATAAATCCAAAACGCAAATCTCTTTTACCTCTCTTCCCTACGCCAATAAAAACAACAACAATTAGTACCCTTAACAGAGTAATAACTAAAAGGAACATTAATGAAAAAAAAACAAAAAAAACAAACACCGTAGCTGTAATGAAGGCGTTCGGCCTCAGTATCTCACCTGTCGAAGGTACAGGCAGATTACAATGATTTTCAGAAATCATTCAATCTTTTTTCAGAAAACTATCATACATATCCCCCCCCTCTCTCTCTGAATTTATAACAAAAAAAATCTAACTCACGTAACAATAAACAGAATGAATAGAGTAATGAATAAACAGACAAGTGAAAAATAAAATGAAAATAATAAAATCACGCCCTCAGTCGACACAAACAGGCAACCGCTCGCTATCAACAGCTCCCCCACCAAATACTGAAACAGGAACCTTATCTCCTCGATAAAAGAAAAGAGAAAAAAAAACAAAAACAAACAAACAAATCTCAAACTGTTTGAGAGAGAGAGAAAAAAAAAAAAAAATCTTACGTTAACAACCTTCGACCGAGATATAACGAACCCCTTAAATACCTACACATAACCTTACCTACAAACACCTAAACATTTCCAACTTTAGAACCAAAAACAAAAACAAACAAACAAATCTCAAACTGTTTGAGAGAGAAAAAGCTGGGCCAGATTTATGCAACCTCGATTCCTCTATCAAAAAAAAAAAAAAATCTTACGTTAACAACCTTCGACCGAGATATAACGAACCCCTTAAATACCTACACATAACCTTACCTACAAACACCTAAACATTTCCAACTTTAGAACCAAAAACAAAAACAAACAAACAAATCTCAAACTGTTTGAGAGAGAAAAAGCTGGGCCAGATTTATGCAACCTCGATTCCTCTATCAAAAAAAAGAAAAAAAAAAAAAAAGAGAGAGAGAAAAAGCTGGGCCAGATTTATGCAACCTCGATTCCTCTATCAAAAAAAAGAAAAAAAAAAAAAAAAGAAAAAAAGAAAGAAAGAAAGAAAAGAAAAAAAAAAAAAAATTAACACCGTAGCTGTAATGAAGGCGTTCGGCCTCAGTATCTCACCTGTCGAAGGTACAGGCAGATTACAATAACTTTCAGAAATCATTCAATCTTTTTTCAGAAAACTATCATACATATCCCCCCCCTCTCTCTCTGAATTTATAACAAAAAAAATCTAACTCACGTAACAATAAACAGAATGAATAGAGTAATGAATAAACAGACAAGTGAAAAATAAAATGAAAATAATAAAATCACGCCCTCAGTCGACACAAACAGGCAACCGCTCGCTATCAACAGCTCCCCCACCAAATACTGAAACAACAGGAACCTTATCTCCTCGATAAAAGAAAAGAGAAAAAGAGAGAGGGAGAGAGAAGGTCCATACAATGGAGTTACGAACGTGTTTCATTTCCGTCCACGAATGCCGACGCACCTAGGCTTTGGACACGTACATACGCGGACACACGCGGCAGGTGAATGCACACTACATGCACTTCCACGTATACTGCATATACATCATATGTATGGATGTAGATGGGTACACACGCTCTCTCTCTCTCTCTCTCTCTCTCTCTCTCTCTCTCTCTCTCTCTCTCTCTCTCTCTCTCTCTCTCTCTCTCATTCATTCGCTCACTCATTCACACACACAAACTCATTCACTTTATTCACACAAGCATACGTAGGCACCCCCCCCCTCTCTCTGTCTCTCTCTCTCTCTCTCTCTCTCTCTCAACTCAGGCGAAACGACCTTTCCATCCATCTCTACCTAAAAAGACAAAATAAAAACCCGATGAAAGTCAAGAGCAAGCAAGGAGAAAACGGAACGGGTCAGAATTTCGACACCGAAGAACACGGCTTGCGAAACATCACGAACGCCAAATAACACACGTTAGAGCGAAAACGGTAGGAGAAAAAAAAAATAAAAGGAATATATCGAGGAGAAAGGCAAAGACTAACCCCAAAGTCTCGTCTTTATTAATTAGATCAGAATTTTGCTTTCTTGATCATCACCATCACCATTACCCTAATTCTCATCACCATCATTTTCAACACTATTTCTCCTCCTCCTCCTCCTCCTCCTCCACCACCTCCTCCTCCACCACCACCTCCACCTCCTCCTCCACCACCTCCACCTCCTCCTCCACCACCTCCACCTCCTCCTCCACCACCTCCACCTCCTCCACCACCACCACCACCACCACCTCCTCCTCCTCCTCCTCCTCCCTCCCTCCACCTCCTCCTCCTCCTCCTCCTCCTCCCTCCCTCCCCCTCCTCCTCCTCCATCCCCACCCACCCGCCCATCCCCCACCCTTCCTCCTACCCATCCCCCCATCCCCATACGTACCACTTGTTTGGGCGTGCAGTCGTAGGGCAGACCTCGCATGCGGATGATGACCTGACCGCCCCGCGAGAGGAACTGCTGGGCTTCATTGTTGCTTCCTGGAGAATAAAAAGAAAGAAAAGAAAAAATGGTTAGATGGAATTTATTGGCGGGGGGGGGGGGGGCAGGAAAGGAGGGAGAAAGGGGGCGGGGGAGGGGAGGGAGGGAGAGAGGAAAGGTGGGAGGGGGGAGGGGAGGGAGGGAGAGAGGAAAGGTGGGAGCGGGGAGGGGGGGGGGAGCTAATACACCACTGTAAGCATGCCAAGTGATGCTTCATAAAATCTAGAATTAACGTGTCCGCAACATTAAGGTCATAGCTTATTAAGTGTTTAAGTTTGTGATGATTTCCCCGAAAAAGCATTACGACATGTCACTCGTAAAATAACTGCAGAATTCCCTTCGATGCATTCCCACACAATCCTCAAACACAGATAACAGCAGTCGTATAATAATAAAACACACACACAAAATGCTACTAGTAGAGTAAAAGTATTAATGTACGTATTTATGTTCCTCCATGCGCGCATTCACTCATGTACTTATTCATCCATGTATGTATTATATTCACTCGTGTACGTATTCACTCATGTATGTATTATATTCACTGGTGTACGTATTCACTCATGTATGTATTATATTCACTCGTGTACGTATTCACCCATGTATGTATTCACTCGTGTACATATTCACCCATGTATGTATTCACTCGTGTACGTACTCATCCATGTATGTATTCACTCGTGTACGTATTCACCCATGTATGTATTCACTCGTGTACGTATTCACCCATGTATGTATTCACTCGTGTACGCACTCAGCCATGTATGTATTCACTCATGTACGTACTCAGCCATGTATGTATTTGCTCGTGTACACATTCACCCATGTATGTATTCACTCGTGTACGTATTCACCTATGGACGTATTCATATTCAAGCCGACCGCACTTCAATCAGAATGCGACCCAGACTATAAAATCGACACAATCATTTTATTCAATATCAAGGTCCATGCTATTTCGGTATATCATACTTTGGTAGACGGAACTTGGAGCTATTTTTTTCTCTTAATGGAAGTATGAGAATCAAAGGAAGGAGGAATAGAGGGAGAATGGAAGAAAGGAAGAGAGGAAGGGGGGGAGAGACGAAGGAGAAGAGGAATAAGAGGAAGAGATGGAAAACCAGATATACAATTTTTTTTTATATAAAAGGAAGAGTGAATCGGGGAAAGCAATAGGTAGATCTGTACCTATATCGCTCTGTATAAACATCCATGCATACAAATATATCATCAGGAATGTCTAGATGTATAGATTTACACAGATAAAGATATACGGACATGTAAATATATACAAAAAAGAAATAAAGAAATAGATAGACAGACAGATAGATAGATAGATAGAGGGTATCATAACGTAACTTTCAGTAGGAGGACAGGGGACCACCCGGTTGCTGATAATTTCCAAAGCCGTTATCAATTACCTCTGTTGTAATCTTTTATCAGTGAGAAGTGATTGTTCGACTACATGCAGGCTCGCCTATAGACCCCCTACCCCATGCCCCTCCCCCCTAACAAAGGTCCTAAAACCGACACCATTTGCAACAATGAAAGAAAAATCGACAATTTTACATTCTTCGATATTAGCTAAAAACTGCGCGAACTATTCTGAAAATCGTAATATTTGTTACAATGAAACACGCCGTTTCTTTCTCCCTACATACTCGAGTGTCGCCTCTGGCAAAGCGCGATACAAAACGGAAAGCAATCTAATGAAACAAATGAAACACGTCCGAGGTTAAATGAATCGCATCGACGCACCTGGCCGACTACACTCAAAATCCAAACGACGTGTGAGATGAACCAAAAAAAAACCGAGATTTTCCTCTTTATTAAAATTTCAAATTCGACGTCATCGCGACTCCGGTAGAACGTCTGATACTATCTAATCAGATACTGCTGTGAAAACAAATGATTTGCTGGGAATCGAGGCTCTGGGTATATTCTCTGGTATTTATTAGACTACATTCTTTTTGATTTTCGCGTCATCGTGTGAGGAACATTACCGACACAAATACACACACGTACATTAACTCGCTCTCATTCACTTCCGTCTCCCCCCCCTCACTCCCTCCCCCACGAGAGACGCAGGCCGCCGCAGGACCTTCGGCATCGCTTATTAATGGCGGAACAGGTTGCGCGGCGCGAGTGCGATGACCCTCGGCCGCGCAGCCGCCGAGCGCCCGCACGACTCCTGGCAGGTCCTCCGGCCGGGCCCAGACACGAGGCCGCCCGGTCCGTCCCGCCGCAGCGGACACGCGGACGCCGATTCCCAGATGATAGCTACTTACGGATAACGTTCATCATGCGCATTGTTTGCTGCATGGCTGCGTGCTGCATGTTGAGCTGGATGTTCATGGTCATGGTCTCGGGCGGGATGGGCGGGAGGTGCGTCCCGCTGCCCGAGCTCCCGCTCCCACTCCCGCCCCCGCCCGTGCTCCGCCCGCGGCCGCTCTTCTCGGACATGGCGGCGGTCCGCACTCGCGTGTTGCCAAGGTACGACTCGGGTTGACGACCCACGCAGAAGAGGGAACGTGTCCAGGGTCGTGATCAGTTCATCGACGACGCAGACCCGGCCGCACTGCTTCGGACTCACGGCTTTTTTTATCTATTTTTATCAAGCAACAGCTGACGTCTGGTTCTCCGACGCCAGTGATACGAACACAGCTGGTCCCTCCCGTGCTTTAAGGCAATGGAAATCACTAGAGGTCGAAGCAGCGTCCCGTCGACGCCGCGATGCGCTGCCTCCCAACGGCTCTCACGTCGCTCGCCGGATCACGTCTCCAGCGGCATCGCACGCCAGAGCCAAGCCGCTTCCCTCGCAGATCCTTCCTTCCTTCCTTCTTGCTTGCGTGCTTGCTCCCTCGCTTCCCCCGCCGTGCAGACAAATGCACCCGACCAAAGCAACCAGGAAGCTCCTTCACACACGCGCACTACGCACACGAGGAACAGCGAGCACACCGACAGCGTGTCCAGCAGGAGTCTGTGGCTCACTCTCAGGGGCCGGGTGAAAGTACGCGCATTACCTGCTTTTATCTCTCTTTATCGCTCTTATCACGTGGGCACGCGGAGGGTAGCGGATAAGCCAAATCTACCCCATACCTGTAACCGCCCCCTTACGCGCTACAGCAGCCACCCACCACAACCAACGACTCCATTACAGCAACGCTATGAACCTTTCGAAGCTCACCAAGTGGAAAAAGAGCATCGCGTCAGAGCTTGCGTAGAAACTCGTGGACGGTGACAAGCAGAACCAGCCACCTAGTCTGGCAACTTATCAGCGATAAGTAATTACGAGATAACTTGGTTTGAAGAGGACGATGCCCATTGCCTGTTACTAGGATGGGGCGGGGACTGTGACGAAGCTCTGGCCGAATGCCGATGGGACACGCACGGCGGATCAGCGCAGTGAAACCGACAGAAATGTTTGCTTGAGAGACTCGTCTCAAAAAGCTAAAAGACGACCAACACAGCTGTATCTGACGCCGAAAACTAGGACTGCTTAATTGTGAAAGTACGCTCGTTGCTTCGACTTCGTTTCACCTTGCACTGACCGAACAGACCAGTAAAATAAACCCACCACACGAAGGAAAAGGCAAATACCCTCACATTACGAAATTCTCTTCCACCGCGGCCGTTAATCACCAGACTAACACCACAAACACGATTACTATAGTCTACCTTAATACGGTGATAACACCAGAACACGAAAGAAAACGGCCGAATCTCAAAGCAAACTGAATAAAAAAAAACAAAAACTCGCTCGACCCGACGAAACCCGTTAAGTCTTACGCTCTAAACGGTCAGTACCATTCGCAATGATGATCAAGGCAATCACTCCGTTGCGAAACCACCAGGTGCAATCGTGCTTTGGGTCTAATTGATAATCGAGACGCGCGTCCTGCCAACGTGGTCAGCTGATCTCACTGCTAATTGGATGACAGATTACAAATGAAGCGCGTGGCGATAAGGTCATGGGGGGGAGGGGGGGGGGGATGGGTGAATGGGGAGGGAAGGATAGATGCAGAAAGGGAAGGGGAGAAGAAGAGAGATTGCGAAGATGAGACAAAGGGGGGGAATACGCGTCAATACGTGTAATTCAAACGAATACACAAGCACTAAATATATCTATCCACCTATATAGGGGAGGGGAGGGGAGGGGAGGGGAGGGGAGGGGAGGGGAGGGGAGGGGAGGGGAGGGGAGGGGAGGGGAGGGGAGGGGAGGGGAGGGGAGGGGAGGGGAGGGGAGGGGAGGGGAGGGGAGGGGAGGGGAGGGGAGGGGAGGGGAGGGGAGGGGAGGGGAGGGGAGGGGAGGGGAGGGGAGGGGAGGGGAGGGGAGGGGAGGGGAGGGGAGGGGAGGGGAGGGGAGGGGAGGGGAGGGGAGGGGAGGGGAGGGGAGGGGAGGGGAGGGGAGGGGAGGGGAGGGGAGGGGAGGGGAGGGGAGGGGAGGGGAGGGGAGGGGAGGGGAGGGGAGGGGAGGGGAGGGGAGGGGAGGGGAGGGGAGGGGAGGGGAGGGGAGGGGAGGGGAGGGGAGGGGAGGGGAGGGGAGGGGAGGGGAGGGGAGGGGAGGGGAGGGGAGGGGAGGGGAGGGGAGGGGAGGGGAGGGGAGGGGAGGGGAGGGGAGGGGAGGGGAGGGGAGGGGAGGGGAGGGGAGGGGAGGGGAGGGGAGGGGAGGGGAGGGGAGGGGAGGGGAGGGGAGGGGAGGGGAGGGGAGGGGAGGGGAGGGGAGGGGAGGGGAGGGGAGGGGAGGGGAGGGGAGGGGAGGGGAGGGGAGGGGAGGGGAGGGGAGGGGAGGGGAGGGGAGGGGAGGGGAGGGGAGGGGAGGGGAGGGGAGGGGAGGGGAGGGGAGGGGAGGGGAGGGGAGGGGAGGGGAGGGGAGGGGAGGGGAGGGGAGGGGAGGGGAGGGGAGGGGAGGGGAGGGGAGGGGAGGGGAGGGGAGGGGAGGGGAGGGGAGGGGAGGGGAGGGGAGGGGAGGGGAGGGGAGGGGAGGGGAGGGGAGGGGAGGGGAGGGGAGGGGAGGGGAGGGGAGGGGAGGGGAGGGGAGGGGAGGGGAGGGGAGGGGAGGGGAGGGGAGGGGAGGGGAGGGGAGGGGAGGGGAGGGGAGGGGAGGGGAGGGGAGGGGAGGGGAGGGGAGGGGAGGGGAGGGGAGGGGAGGGGAGGGGAGGGGAGGGGAGGGGAGGGGAGGGGAGGGGAGGGGAGGGGAGGGGAGGGGAGGGGAGGGGAGGGGAGGGGAGGGGAGGGGAGGGGAGGGGAGGGGAGGGGAGGGGAGGGGAGGGGAGGGGAGGGGAGGGGAGGGGAGGGGAGGGGAGGGGAGGGGAGGGGAGGGGAGGGGAGGGGAGGGGAGGGGAGGGGAGGGGAGGGGAGGGGAGGGGAGGGGAGGGGAGGGGAGGGGAGGGGAGGGGAGGGGAGGGGAGGGGAGGGGAGGGGAGGGGAGGGGAGGGGAGGGGAGGGGAGGGGAGGGGAGGGGAGGGGAGGGGAGGGGAGGGGAGGGGAGGGGAGGGGAGGGGAGGGGAGGGGAGGGGAGGGGAGGGGAGGGGAGGGGAGGGGAGGGGAGGGGAGGGGAGGGGAGGGGAGGGGAGGGGAGGGGAGGGGAGGGGAGGGGAGGGGAGGGGAGGGGAGGGGAGGGGAGGGGAGGGGAGGGGAGGGGAGGGGAGGGGAGGGGAGGGGAGGGGAGGGGAGGGGAGGGGAGGGGAGGGGAGGGGAGGGGAGGGGAGGGGAGGGGAGGGGAGGGGAGGGGAGGGGAGGGGAGGGGAGGGGAGGGGAGGGGAGGGGAGGGGAGGGGAGGGGAGGGGAGGGGAGGGGAGGGGAGGGGAGGGGAGGGGAGGGGAGGGGAGGGGAGGGGAGGGGAGGGGAGGGGAGGGGAGGGGAGGGGAGGGGAGGGGAGGGGAGGGGAGGGGAGGGGAGGGGAGGGGAGGGGAGGGGAGGGGAGGGGAGGGGAGGGGAGGGGAGGGGAGGGGAGGGGAGGGGAGGGGAGGGGAGGGGAGGGGAGGGGAGGGGAGGGGAGGGGAGGGGAGGGGAGGGGAGGGGAGGGGAGGGGAGGGGAGGGGAGGGGAGGGGAGGGGAGGGGAGGGGAGGGGAGGGGAGGGGAGGGGAGGGGAGGGGAGGGGAGGGGAGGGGAGGGGAGGGGAGGGGAGGGGAGGGGAGGGGAGGGGAGGGGAGGGGAGGGGAGGGGAGGGGAGGGGAGGGGAGGGGAGGGGAGGGGAGGGGAGGGGAGGGGAGGGGAGGGGAGGGCACATAGTACACTATCTTGCTCCTTCACCCCCCCATCCCCCTACCCACACCAAACCACCCCTACCCCACGTCCATCCCCCGACCCCACCTCTACCCCCACCCCCTTCACCCCTACCCTTACCCAATCCACCCCCTACCCCCGGTGCCACCCCCACCCTTACCCAATCCCCCCGGTACCACCCCTCCCCCTAATCCCCCCTCCCCGTAGCCCCTGACGACCCCCGGACGACTCCCCGCGAGGACCTTGGACGCCAGGAGCCGCGGCGGGGATCCCCTCGGCGCGAGCTGGACCTCCCAAGGACTCCGTTGACGCCGTTGCTAGGACCAAGCATCCTTCGGTAAATAACACGTGCTTGGGACACAATCAATCCCCTTCCCCATCTCCTTCTCCTTCGTCTTCGTCTTATCCCTTCCATTTCCGCTTTCCCTTCGTCTTGTCCCACCCTCTTCCCCTTCCTATTCTTATGTCTCCTTCCTATTCTCCTTATCTCGTTCTTATTCTCCTTTCCTTTCCTTTCCTTCCCCTCCATCTCCCCCTCCGTTCTCCTTTCCCTTCCTATTCTCCTCTTTCCTTGCCCCTTGTCCTCCTCTTCCCTCTCCTTTCCTTTCCTTTTTGTCCCATTTTCGCGGTTTTCCTACACCCTTTTTGCCCCCCTTTTCCCCTCTTTCCCTTCCATGATCTTTTCCCCGTTTTTCATACATCCTTCCTGCGCCCTTTCCCCTCTTTCCTTTCCTGTTCTCTTTCCGAGTTTTCACAGCTTCCCTTCCTTCTCCTCCCCCCCTTCCTCCTACTACGGCTACCCCCCCCTCCCCTCCCCTCCCCTCCTCCTCCTCCTAAAACTGTAGTTCTTGTAAGTCAACTCTTCATTATGTGCCAAAGACCGCCGAGCATGTGTACAAAAAGGGGTGAAATGTCGATGGTGGATAAAACAAGACGGGCTGTGGGCAGGAAAGGGTGGGGTGGGTAAGGGGAGATAGGGGGTGGAAGGGGAGGGGAGGGGGGGAGAGAAAGGGAGGAAAGATTGGGGGCCAGAGGGAGGGGAGGGGAGGGGAGGGGAGGGAGGGAGGGATGGCAGGGGGAGGTCAGTAGCGAGGGAGGAGAGGGACTGACGCAGATGAGGTCAGCATCCGGCCAACATGACCCAGCTTTCACCGAAAATTTCTAATCCATTCATTATCTCCGCCGATGCAACGACAGGAGTCTATCATGTCTGTATTTCTCCGTCTGTGTGTACGTGTGTGCGTTCGTTTGTGACCATGATCACACGTGCATGACCAAATGCAACTGAATGAAGAGACAAGCACAACTTTTACTACCCTCACCAACCTGACACATATATACGTATATGTACCTACACGTACATCAAGCGCGTGCGTGTGCATTCTTACGTGCACATACGGACCCTGCAAACAAACACAAACATATGCGTTCTACATAAACTTCTAACGCGCATTAATCTTAGCCTGTTAGTCCCACAGGTTCCTCCGTCCTCACACTTGTTTACCTTTAAGAAGTTGTTTTATGAGACGGACGTTTCCACAAAAAAGGGCCCCGTGGAGGATCATTCGGGAGAGGAGGAGGAGGAGGAGGAGGAGGAGGAGGAGGAGGAGGAGGGAGGAGGAGGAGGAGGAGGAGGAGGAGGAGGAGGAGGAGGAGGAGGAGGAGGAGGAGGAGGAGGAGAGGAGGAGGAGGAGGAGGAGGCGGAGGCGGAGGAGGGGCGGAGGAGGAGGGGGAGGAGGAGGAGGAGGAGGGGGAGGCGGAGGAGGAGGGGGAGGAGGAGGAGGAGGGGGAGGAGGAGGGGGAGGAGGAAGAGGAGGCGGAGGCGGAGGAAGAGGAGGAAGAAAAGAACGGAAGAGGTGTATGAGAGAAGAGAATAATGGGAACAGAGAAAACACGGAGATGAAAGAGCCTGAGAAAAACAGGAGCATAGGAAGAATACAAGAATAAGAACAGGCGAATTAGAAAAGAATAAGATGATGATAGAAGTAATGCCAAGAAGAAAACAGAAGAAAATTAAAGAATTAAAAGAACTCCCCTTCCCCTCCCTCCTCCCTTCCCCTCCCTCCTCCCTTCCCCTCCCTCCTCCCTTCCCCTCCCTCCTCCCTTCCCCTCCCTCCTCCCTTCCCCTCCCTCCTCCCTTCCCCTCCCTCCTCCCTTCCCCTCCCTCCTCCCTTCCCCTCCCTCCTCCCTTCCCCTCCCTCCTCCCTTCCCCTCCCTCCTCCCTTCCCCTCCCTCCTCCCTTCCCCTCCCTCCTCCCTTCCCCTCCCTCCTCCCTTCCCCTCCCTCCTCCCTTCCCCTCCCTCCTCCCTTCCCCTCCCTCCTCCCTTCCCCTCCCTCCTCCCTTCCCCTCCCTCCTCCCTTCCCCTCCCTCCTCCCTTCCCCTCCCTCCTCCCTTCCCCTCCCTCCTCCCTTCCCCTCCCTCCTCCCTTCCCCTCCCTCCTCCCTTCCCCTCCCTCCTCCCTTCCCCTCCCTCCTCCCTTCCCCTCCCTCCTCCCTTCCCCTCCCTCCTCCCTTCCCCTCCCTCCTCCCTTCCCCTCCCTCCTCCCTTCCCCTCCCTCCTCCCTTCCCCTCCCTCCTCCCTTCCCCTCCCTCCTCCCTTCCCCTCCCTCCTCCCTTCCCCTCCCTCCTCCCTTCCCCTCCCTCCTCCCTTCCCCTCCCTCCTCCCTTCCCCTCCCTCCTCCCTTCCCCTCCCTCCTCCCTTCCCCTCCCTCCTCCCTTCCCCTCCCTCCTCCCTTCCCCTCCCTCCTCCCTTCCCCTCCCTCCTCCCTTCCCCTCCCTCCTCCCTTCCCCTCCCTCCTCCCTTCCCCTCCCTCCTCCCTTCCCCTCCCTCCTCCCTTCCCCTCCCTCCTCCCTTCCCCTCCCTCCTCCCTTCCCCTCCCTCCTCCCTTCCCCTCCCTCCTCCCTTCCCCTCCCTCCTCCCTCCCCTCCCTCCTCCCCTTTCCCTCTCCCCATCCCTCTTCCTCCTCCTTCCCCTTCCCTCCTCCTCCTCCCCTTCCCCTCCCTTCCTCCCTCCCCCTTCCCCTCCCTCCTCCCTTCCCCTCCCCTCCCCTCCTCCCCTTTTATCCTCTCCCCTCTCCTCCCATCCCTCCCCTTCCCTTTCCCTCCCCCTCCCATCCTCTCCCCTTCCTCCCTCTCCATCCCTCCTCCTCCCTCCCCCTCCCGAACTCACCTCCGGCCACGTTGATGAAGTCCTCTCCCGTGGCCTTGTAGACCTCGATGTAGCGGTTCCCGATGTGGTGTTTGTGTCGCTTGAGGGCCATGTCACGGTGCTCGGGGGACACGAAGCGGATCAGGGCCTCGCCGTTCCTGCGGCCCTGGGGGCTCAGGCACAGGGCCACGCCGCCCCTGGAAAGCAAGAGAAGAGCGTTGTAGGAATTAACGTGGAATTAAGTGGGGGGGGGGGGTATGGATGATTTTTATTTGCTGTGCACTGCTGGTGACTGATTTAATATTTCCTATGGGGGGAAAATATCCTGGGAAGGGAGGGAGAAGAGGGAAAGAGGGAAAAAGAGAGAGAGAGGGAAAGAGAGAGAGAGGGAGACAGAGAGAGAGGGAGAAAGAGAGAGAGAGAGAGAGAGAGAGAGAGAGAGAGAGAGAGAGAGAGAGAGAGAGAGAGAGAGAGAGAGAGTGTGTGTCAGAGAGTTAGAGATAGAAATCCAGGTAAAGAGCCTGCCCCCCTTCAGATAACCGCAAAATTACAATGCCATGCGCCCCAAACCCTATTCACATGAATCTGAAATCTGCGCAGCGTCCGGCCAGCAGAAAACTTGTTATGAAAACAAAGTGACGTGTCGTGTGGCTTGTTTAGCAATAGTCGCAGAGGCACAGGTGCGGACGGACCACGGCTGCGGTTTCGAAATGTATAATTTTTCGGTGCATTTCACGCCATTTTCACTCGGTTAATTTTTACATTTAGAGCCGTGCGTACATCATCTCCTTTCACGCGCGATAGAGGTGATCTGCTAAAAGTAATTCTCTCATTTCTCTCTCTCTCTCTCTCTCTCTCTCTCTCTCTCTCTCTCTCTCTCTCTCTCTCTCTCTCTCTCTCTCTCTCTCTCTCTCTCTCTCTCTCTCCCCTCCCCCCACCCCCCCAGCAAAGAAAGTGGTTTGCTCTCCCCACAGGTTGATCCCGGACGGCACGAGGGGAGGCCACCGTCTCATAAACATTGACATTGATTAGTCCGCCGTCCTCGTACGGAACAGTTGCTTACATGGTCAGACACGTGCGTCCGCCCCCGCTGTCTCCCCCCCCCCCTCTGTCTCTCTCCCTTTCCTTTTCTCTCTCTCTCTCTCTCTCTCTCTCTCTCTCTCTCTCTCTCTCTCTCTCTCTCTCTCTCTCTTACCTTCTGTCACTTGCATTTTATGAGCATATGTGCAAATTCTAAGCTAGATATCTGTCTATCCCTGCATCCGTATGTGTGTATCTCTATCGCTCTATCTGTCATCATGAATGTTCTTAATATCCATTTTCATTCTTCTTTTCTCATGTCGACCATTTCACTCTTTCTGCCTTCTTTCCACTCTTCCTTACATCTTTCTCACCTCCTTATTGTCTCCCACCCCTTCTCCCCACCCCCTCCCATCCTTCTCACCCCCCTCTCGCTCCCTATCCTTCACTCCCTCTTTCCACCTATCCTCCGTCCGCCTCCCATTGTTCCTCGTCCGCTCGTCCTCCTCGGGGCACCACCTGATCCCCGCCCCGACTGCTCTGTGCTCACCACTCGTTCCGTTTTCCATTTCAGAACGACTGTCGCGGCGACTTCACTGTCAAAAGCCTCTAAAACTCTCGCACTTCGCAGAGCAGAAAGAGAAACTCGTGGCCGCTCGGACGAAGACGCTCGTGGGCAACAACAGCAAGAGAAAAGTCACTAGATCACACTCCTTCCATGGCATTATACATGGCATTATTCATCGCCGGCCGGGCCGCCTCATGAATTCCGATCGGCCGGGGGCTGTCGGGCCTCCGTCGAGACCCCGCGAGGCTCCTCGAAAGGCTCCCGGGCCGTTTACTAGGCGGAACCTGTTTGCCTCTTACACTGCTCCGTTGCGCCTCATTCGTCAGCGAGCGACACGCGGGCGACTCGACGCGGCGGCTGCGACTGACCCGACATGACGCGGGCGCCGCCGACTCGCGAGAGTGCCCCGAGGGACTGTGTCATGTGCCCGCTTGACCGTGTCAGTCACGGGCGACTGAATCCCCTGAACTCGGGCTGCGTGGGCGCACAAGAACCCGCCCGCCTTACGGATTGTTACGCTGCGTCGCACACCGACAGCGGCCGCGGAGCACATGCAAACGCAGGGCGGCCGAGCGGCAGCCCTTGGGAAGGGCAAAGGAACCGAAGGACATCTGACCAAACCTTGCAGCGGCGTGGGTTCCCAGGACGTAGCTGGCTGAGCTGAAGGGCGCGGCGTGAGGCGGCCGGTGCATCCCGCGCCCCCACCTGGCTGTCGACCGCGGGGGCACCTGCCACCTCTGCAGGGCGCAGGCCGGCCGACTGTGGTGAGGCGACGTGGCCTGCCGGTGGCTAAGGTGCGAGAGGCGCTGGCCGTGCGGGAGGCTGCGGTGCGCGCCCTGGCCTCGAGGCTGAGCTGGCTGCGGGCACGGAGGGGCGGCGGGGCTGCAGGAGGGCAGGGGCGGCGGGCAGGCGTGGAGGCCCAAAGGCGAGGCCCGAGAACAGGACGGCGAGGCTGGTGATGGCGCGGCGCCACGTACACTGGCTGGGCCCGCTGCGCTGAGCCGACACTGCTGCATGGACGCTGCCAGAGTACCCGCGCCTCCGTCATGCTGCCATGGCGCGCCCCCGAACTGCGCCGCCCCCCGCCCGCTCGCGCCCTCAAAGGCAGA